GATCCCCGGCCCCGCCCCGCCCCGTTGCCATTCCTACCCTACCACCACTAATACAACTATTAGTATATTAGTTTTAATGACACAATCTATTAGAAAATATTTTCCACTGAAACAAACGGAGCATTAAATAATTTTGTCCTTTTTCTTTAGTTTTATTATTATGTTGTATGCTAGAAAGGATTCTACAGATTCTGGTACAAATAACTTAAATCAGGTACGTTCTTTTTGTATCAGTGAACCAATAAGCTCAGCACTCTCTTTTACAAAATGTTTATGGTTGCTGTGGTAGGTTCACTTGCTCACTCGATGTTCACAATTGTGCTGTCACAAATGCCTCTGAAAAAAGGCTAAGCTATTGCTATTTTTTTGAATCACGTATTAAGGGATGTTAGCGTCAAGTAATTATGCTCTTATCTTTCTAGTATTCTCTATTTTATCTTTCCATCAAGCTGAGTAGGGCTTTTCGGTATGGACATTGGCAGCCAAATAAGGAGCTCCAGTATGGCCGAGTGTCAGCTGCAGAGCTGGTGCAAGCAGTTCATGAGATGCTTTCTACAGCTGGTGTTAATATGGATGTGGAGAAGCAGTCCCTACTGCAAACAACATTAACGCTGCAAGAACAACTAAAGGAGTCTCAGGCAACATTGTTGCTTGAGCAGGTTTGTGCTTTTTCTTTTTCTGTTTTTTTTTGGTCTGATTGTTTTGTCTTCCTTGATTTATTGAATCTTTCCATCTTTGCATCATGCTCCGGTTGAAATCTACATAGGAATTGAGAAGCTTATAATATGAGGAAAAATATTCACATTATTCAAAACTCACCAATGTAGCACCCTAGTGTTATTATGTTCTGGTACATGGCTCCAGTGGTATGCTCTGGATTGTGCCCTTTAATCTTTTTGATTACAAAAATGCTAGAGGCCCCAAAAATTCTACCAAAAGTTTTACCAAATATCTCACATGGGTGTGGGACCCACATTGTGTGGGTCCCACACCCATGTGAGACATTTGGTAAAATTTTTGGTAGAATATTTGGGGTCTCTAGCATTACTCTTTTGATTATTTGAGCCTCCTGGCATGAGGTGTGTTGCAAAATTCTTTTTAGCTGCCCCTGGTTTGATGTGTGGCTGTCATTGACTTTTTCAAGACACATAAGGTCTTCTCAGGAACTGTGTATTAGGAGTGGCCCTAATTGAATAACAAATATATTTTTGGGTGTTGTGATTTCATTAAACACACAAGTTGCACACTTCTTCAATATTATTTCATTTCATGTAATATCTTTAAGATGATTTTACTGTGTCTGAATTGCGCTGTCCAGGTTAGTTTTTTTCCTTGCAGGTTAAAGTGGTCCAAATTTTAGACATGGTCATATCCTAAGTATGGACGCTTCTAAGAAGATGATGTGTTTATGTCGGACATGTGTTGGATATCGATACTCATCAGACAGTGCTCAACATGTGTCAAATACTCATCCAAGCATGTCCTTTTTTTTTTTTGGACCCTAATACACATCAGAAACTTAGAGGGCTTGCGTGTTAATTGCTTTGACACTGGTTGTAAACGAACCAAGTTGAGCCGAGCTTTGTTGAGTTCGAGCTCAGCTCGTTTACTTATCGAGCTCGAGCTCAGCTCAATAAGGAACTGGGCTCGAGCTGAGCTTGGCTTGGCTCTGCCTGGCCCGGCTCGGCTCGATAATTTTTTTTTTTAAATATTATTTATATTATTTTTTAAAAAATATATTGTTTATATTATTTAATATATAAATAATGTATTTATACTATTATTTATATATATTTATATATTATTTAATATGTAAATAATATATTTATTATATAATTTAAATAAAGATAAACGAGCCGAGCTTATGCGAGCTGAAGCTCGGCACCGAGCCGAGCCGAGCCTATTCATGAACAACTCAGTTCATTTACCGTCCTAAACACACATGAAATGGATTATAAGTTTGAACAAAATAATATAGGTATAATGACAAGAAAATTAATGAAAATTTATACCTATTAATTTCTCATCCTTTAAACTTTAAGAATTAGTATTTTTTTATTTTATTTTATTTATTTATTTAAAATTATCTGTGAATGAAATATTCATACATGTGACATAATAACTTATAAAACTACATATTTTGCTCCTACATTTTTTTGAAATTTTCCATAGAAAAGCTATATGTTTTTTTCTTGTTTTTCAGATCCAAAGCTTTTAAAAGCAAGAATATATCGAATCATCTAATCCCTCTAATAAAAGTGCATGATCATGATTACAATTATCGATTTTTTAGCCCATAGAAATATGTATTGTAATATAGGGAAATTTTTGTAGGAGAAATCTGACATGGCAGCCAAAGAAGCGGATTCGGCGAAAGCAGCATGGATATGCCGGGTCTGTTTGACCAATGAAGTCGATAACACGATAGTTCCGTGTGGTCACGTGCTCTGTCGGAGGTGCTCATCTGCTGTTTCCAGGTGTCCATTCTGTCGTCTACAAGTCACAAAAACAATGAGAATTTTCCGTCCTTGATTATATTTGGTGCATCACAGTAAATATATTCGGGGATTGAGATTGCTCCACCATTCTTTCTGATGGCGCAAAATATTCTTTGACGCTTTTTTTTTTTTTTTGGGATCACAGAGGTGAAAAGGAAAGTAAAATTCCTTCCTTTTTTTGATGTAAATGACATTAGCTGCAGGAACCTAAAGATATATATATATATATATATCTAATCAAATCAAACTAAACCTTGTATAGTGAATATATTTGAAATCTTTAGTTCTCGTATAGTGAGTTATATTCTTGAGGACTGAATGCATGTTTACCGTTTGGCTTAATTGTTGGTTCAGTTTATGCATGCCGAAAAAAGGGCATTGGAATGGTCTTAGTTCCTGAATATGCATATTTAAAAAATAAAAAGAAGGAAAAAAGAAAAAAAAAAAAAGAGTTAAATAATTTATAATGCAAGTAGAACTTATATAGATTACCAATTGGAATTGAATTTAAAAAAATAAAAAATAAAAAATAAAAAATAAAAACTACAGAGAGAATGAGAAGGGGATAAAAATAAATAAATAAAAGAAGAAAGAGAGAAGGGATGGCAGTTCATTCAAATCAATAATGCTAAAATAACTATATCTATCAATTGTGTTTTGGTCATAGTTTATCATTAAATGTATGTAATTAATATTGATAACTAATTAGTGGTGGAATTTTTTAGACTTAGGTGATTTGGGTATGGTTTATTTTTTAACTTTTTATCAATCTAGGGCTATCTTTGAAAAGAATACATGAATCAATCGAGGGGTGAATGGGTGGTGGAATTCCACAGTAATGAGGTAACCAAGCCTAAGGGTTAACCATTTATGTTGTCTTTCAAAAAGATTGGATTTGATCCTTGGATTCAAATCTTAACCTCGATCCTTGCTTTCAAATCTTACCGTTGCCTTATGCAACTTTTCCTTCCCTATTCTCCTACTGATTGTTAAAATAAATAAATCAGATTCTATATGGCTGTTAGATTTGGTAACCTGGTATCTGTGTGTGTGTGCGCGCGTGCGCGCTTGTTGCATTCTAGTTTGCTATCAAATAACCACTTGAAAATAAGCCTTTAAATCTGACATACAAAATCATCTACATTGATGAATCATCTCAACCATACACGTGTTTCAAAGTGTTTCACTACTAGTCGATTTCATTGCTCTAGAAAAACAATCCCGATTTGACAAACAATACAGACACAACTTGAGAACTAGCCTTAAACTTCTGGTTTTTCTTCTGTAACCTCACAGAAAGAATGTCTTGAGGAACTATACATCAAAAGACCTGAAAGGAAGTCGCTGCAGATAACCACATGTAGTAATTGTCAATTTATCCAAGATACCGAAGCAAGACTCCATCATTTCCAAGCACAAATCCCTTTTGTTCATTGATAAACCTGCACCAGATAGAATAGAAAAATCAACAGCTTTATCATTTTTCAAAGTGTAAGGCTAATATTAAGCACGAGTCATAAGAGCTCTTGTACTTCGGTGCATAAACCATGCACAATAATTAGGGATGACAAAATGGATCCACCCCGACACTATAGGGGTGGTTTTCCCTGATTTTTCCTCCTATAGAATTGGTTTTGGTATTAAATTTTGGTTCCCTGTCAGTAGGCTTGTTAAACGAACCAAACTACTCGAACTTGACTCGTGTTCGCCTCGTTAAAAGATCATTTGAGATCGGCTCATTATGTAAACAAGCCAAGCTTGAACAACCTATTACTCATCTTGACTCGACTCGTTTTCAACCCTCCCTGTTGGGGATTGGGGATGGAGAGTGCAAACCCCAAAACTTCTTCCCTTCTGTAACGTTATATAATAAACCTTAAATTACTTATCACTTCTGGTTGCAAGGCAAATGACGGGCTGAATGAACGGAAAAAGAAGATTTTGAATCTATAACTTCATTTCCGAACTAGGGCTGAGCAAAAAAACGGAAAACTGTAAACCAGTCCAATCTAGACTAAACCGTACGGTTTGGTTTGGTTTTGCTAATGCATGGTTTGGTCCCGGTTCTTAAAATATGTGAACAATATTCTATGGTTTTGTCTATGGTTTTATAGTAACTGTTCTGGTTTGAAACTAAACCGGACTGTTTATATATGTATATAAAAATCATTACTTACCATAGACCCTGAAATACTCTATCACAACCCCATATAATACTTATGTTAAACCTAATCTGAGCAATCTCATAACCCTCTGTCGCTTGACAGTCGACTTACCTCATAGTTGTGATTGCCACTTGACAATTGTTGCTTGAACAATGGCTTATTGTCAATTCGGTGGTTTGATATTTTTATTGACCAATATGTTGTGCGCAAGTTACTATAAACCGTGGTTCCAAACCATGTCAAACTGGTTCGGTCTAGTTTGGTTCAATAATTTTCAGGGTTTGGTTTGGTTTCAAATTATATGGAACCGTAGCTAGCTGTTTGGTCCTTGGTTTCCTCCTTCAACTGAATTGAATCAAACCATGCTCACCCCTATCTGAACCAAATCATTTTAGAATATAAAGTTTTGTCAGCTTTCCATGTAACACACAGACATGTGAGGAGATAGAGGTGGAAATGGTTTCAAAAGGGTGCGGCTTTCCAATTCAAAAAGTTAATTGTTTGATCATCTCAACAATCAAATCAACATTAGAAGTTTATTGAAGGAAGAAACTCACTTTACTGCATAGAGATTCGCAGCAATATTATCAGCTGCTTTGTCACGCGTCCATGTCTTGCCGCCATTGGTGGTTCTTAACAGAATCCCGCTGCCCCCAGCTGCCCAAGCCTCATCCTGCACAATCAAATCATTCAGCATATGGATAGTCTGGAAGTTAAACAGAATTAAACTCATTTGAATTTGAAAAGAAGGAAGGGGACAAAGATTAGACAAAGAGGTCAAACAAAGTTCATCACTACGAAGTAATGAAGTTGCCTATTAAGAAGATGGCTTGGGAAAAATGAAGGGATAATTGGTAGCATTGCTTTTTTGTTTAAGATCACATTATGGGAGTCCTGGAACAAATTCCCTAAACTAAATTGTGAAAGTTTCTTTTATATGGATAATTTGCAAGTTGGTTTTAGGTTACATAATCTATTATACATGTGGGTACTTGTTGAGTGATTTGTGGCCTAGACATGCAACCTTTGGGGCTATGTAGTCCTTTCCTTTCATTACTCCTCATACAGTTTGTCTAGCCTATTTCATACATTAAAGCAATTCACGTAGGAATCTTTTATCGCTTGTGGGAAAATGCCTCATGTCTCATTCAACGAGGACCAATAAAGGATTATGTTGATACCAAAAGCAATTATTCAAATGTTACCTTAGAACGGTACCCAACATCAAGAATGCCAAAACCACGACTCTGTACTTGAACTTCTTCAAAATTCTCTGTTATCTGGAAATGTAAAGAACCAATTGCACTTAAAGACAAGCAGTACAATAACATGAAAGAAGTAAACTTGATGGCAGAGCTGAGTAGTGCCAAATAGGGAAAAGAAGAAAGTCCATCCATGGAATTCTACAAATTGATTTGACTGCACATCCCTATAAATTTGTATGAATAAAAATAAGTCATATTGAATATTGTAGTGGAGGACAATGCATATGAAGCTATGACATGAAAGAGAACCCTCTGAAAAGACAATTGGCACCAAAATCATATTATGTACATAGAAAATAGAAAATCTTGTTTTCACTTTTGTTGAGAACAGATTCTAATCTTGTTTCTGAACACCAAATCTATTCGGTGTTACTATTAGTGCATGCACATTGAGAAGATTTCTCCACCAGAATGAATATGCATAAATAAATATGGTCACAAGAATATAATCTTACATTCACTTACCCCTGTGCCATTGCTGAGATAAAGTCCCCCACCTCGTACAAGAAGCCAAAGACCACCATCAGCCCTCCATCCCATGTTTTGAATTCTTCTTGCAACTGACCTGTTATGTGGCTGCCAAAATGGCTGTAATGGCACATGATCATCAGTGAAATTGACATGGTTAAGTGTTGCAAATCTTTTAAAGTTTCTTTGGGATTATGTAATGCAATTCTATATAATTTGTCACCAGTTTAAAACCTAAAAAGGAAATCTTTATGCCTTAAAATGAGGTGCTCAAAAGGCAGGCAATCCCCTTTTTATTCATTTACCTCAGCATGAAACATATATAAGAAAAACCACAGAGCATTAGAGAAAGAACCTCACCTGCCCTGGCTCCCAAGTCAGGTAGAAGTTACCGCGGCTTGAAACAGCAACATAACTTCCGTCTGGAGAGCGATTCACAGTATTAAAAGTTCCTGTATAGTAGCTTGCACCACTAATACCACTAGAAACTGTTCTGCAACAACAATAGAGTACTTGGATATCATTTTCACTTTTTAGAATGGACTCGCGCTTATTGTTTCAAATATTATTCGCTCCACTTTGTAGGTATATCTACTTTTTTACTTATCCTTGATAGACATCTATGAGGCTGATGCTAATCACTGTGTGATATAGGCTAACATTCTTGTAAGGTTGATGCTAGTCATTGAATTTTTATTTTTTATTTTTTTGTAGCAGTGTATCAGTGCTAGCATTTCTAGCATCAAAGTTGCAAAATATTGAGAAAAAAAAATAATGAATAACAATTTCATGGCAAAGGAAAGTGGCAGTTTTACAGATGGAAGATGAAAATCCAAAGATTAAATGAGGTGCAAATTTGGTTATTTACTGACGTAATTCTAACGTAAAATATCAAAATGAAGGAAACACATTTGCGTGCACACAGGAAAAAAATAAAGAGAATATTAGGAAATATCAAGGATGAATAGAACAATCTAGTGGACATATGAGTAACATAACTATGAGGACAATAAATCAAGAAAATCTTGTTCAACTGCTACAAACAAAATACATATAAACGGGTGTTTCAATGAAAATCGGATTTTCACAGAACAGCAAAGACAAAGGCAAAGGGGAACAACAAAAGAGAGAAGTGTATTGAGAATAAAAAATCAGATTAAGATTTGGATAAGAGTGCAACCAGATTTGCATAGCTAACCCTAAATAATTGAACTGAGTACAGACAGATGAGAATGATTAAAACCATGATAATCAGACAATACTTATAAAGATGGTGATGTTGTTACTAATTTATTATGGGTTCACACCTCTTTCCAAATGCATGAATCTGACTCAATGAACAGACTGATGCACTTTCAAAGGTAGCTTTTGTATAGAAACTCACCTATTAAGAGTAGCCGAAACAGTCTCCTGCACAGCAGCCCTCCAGTTGTAGCCTCTGTTTGATGTAACATAAATTGCTCCTTGGTCAGTTACCATCTCTGCACTATTTTCTCCAGTTGCCTCTATATATACCTGCAAATGTCACAATAAAATGACAGTTATCCTTCTAAACTACAAGCAAACAAAGCAAAGTCTAATGATTGGGTTCTCTTTATATGAAATCAGACTATACCCTTAAATGATAGACAGCATGTAAACCAGAGAATCGCAAAGCTGGACTGCTTCATAGAGTATGTCAATTTGAGTCTTATTATCTTTCTTCTAAGTTAAGATGCTGCTGGACATATTTATTTATACTTTATTAGGTTAAGCAGTCAAGGGGTAGTTTGGTAATCTTTGGATTAGCTAGACATGGACTTTGGTATGAGTTCATGGGTCATATTATGGGACTTAACTACTCAATCTTCATTTCCAATATAGCTTAGCCCAGCATCAAGTTGGATGCAACGGAAATTCCCCAACAGCAACATAAGGTTGGGTGAGCCTGAGGGTAGTTGAACTGAGTACAGACAGATGAGAATGATTAAAACCATGATAATCAGACAATACTTATAAAGATGGTGATGTTGTTACTAATTTATTATAGGTTCACACCTCTTTCCAAATGCATGAAACTGACTCAATGAACAGACTGATGCACTTTCAAAGGTAGCTTTTGTATAGAAACTCACCTATTAAGAGTAGCCGAAACAGTCTCCTGCACAGCAGCCCTCCAGTTGTAGCCTCTGTTTGATGTAACATAAATTGCTCCTTGGTCAGTTACCATCTCTGCACTATTTTCTCCAGTTGCTTCTATATATACCTGCAAATGTCACAATAAAATGACAGTTATCCTTCTAAACTACAAGCAAACAAAGCAAAGTCTAATGATTGGGTTCTCTTTATATGAAATCAGACTATACCCTTAAATGATAGACAGCATGTAAACCAGAGAATCGCAAAGCTGGACGGCTTCATAGAGTATGTCAATTTGAGTCTTATTATCTTTCTTCTAAGTTAAGATGCTGCTGGACATATTTCTTTATACTTCATTAGGTTAAGCAGTCAAGGGGTAGTTTGGTAATCTTTGGATTAGCTAGACATGGACTTTGGTATGAGTTCATGGGTCATATTATTGGACTTAACTACTCAATCTTCATTTCCAATATAGCTTTGCCCAGCATCAAGTTGGATGCAACGGAAATTTCCCAACAGCAACACAAGGTTGGGTCAGCCTAAGGGAAAACCAGTTGTTGATTAGTGGAGTTTACTCTGGTAAGGTAGGCCAAGCGTGGAGAAGTATTCACAAATGTGTGTGCAATCAAATTCACTTAGCATGAGCAGTATAACGGCCCACAAAGGTTTTTATTCTATCTCCACTTTAAGATGAATCTTTCTCCAAAACACCCACACACAAACACACAAAAAGGAGGCAATAACCTCGAAAAATAGTGAGTTCTCAAACATAGGCTCCACAAGCAAGAACCACATCGCATAAGTAGGTACCAAAGATTCTTTCAATGAAGTTGAAAAACACAGCTAAGAAATGACAGATATCAAGATGTCAAAAGTTTAGAATACAAGAACATTCGTTTAGAAAAATCTCCAAATAAAATAGTCTTCTACATACAAAATTAAATCACAAAAAAATATCAAGAATGTACATGTCAGCTTCATGGGGCCACTAAAGATACCTTCACTATTTTCACCAGAGGTCTGCCCCTTCGTGCTAACATATACATTCTTGGCATTTTTCTGTGGTTTAATTCTGTGTATATAAATTTAATCAATAAGATATCAACGAAAACAAAACCAATGATAGCCTCCTTATTCAATTAGGAAATGTCATGTTTATCTAATAAATGGTAGCAGAAATTTCTAGCGGCAATTGTATAATCATTTTGTTTAATTAAAGAAGTGATAACCAACATCATTGATGATAGGTCTAACTATTTGTTCTTGGTTTGTATAGCACAGCTCAGGATTGAAGGTAAATTCTTATGTTAATTGTATCAAGAACCAATAATGTATGTCAATTTGGGTAATTGGACTACCATAAAAAAATAAACTAAATGACAAAACAAAAATGCATCACAAAAAAAGTGTATTTGTTGATCTCTCTCTCTCTCTCTCTCTCACACACACACACACACAAACCAAAAAGAAAAAAGAAAAAGGAAAGGATATTTGCTAATATTTATGTTTGCACAGCCTTTAGTAGCAAATCATATGCCACAAACTGATTAAAGAAGGCCATGACACATTAAGAATCTCAACATAATTAAGTTGCACGATTGAGTACAAAAGAAGGCTCCTATTATGTTGCTTGTTGACCTGTACATGTACTAGATTATGGAAGTCCCTTTTAATTCCTTCAAAAAGGGAATACCATGATAAGATATATAAGTCTCCAATAGTCTGAATGTTCAAATCTATAACAGAGGAGCTGTAGAAATTCAATCCTACCATATCACCAGGAAGTTGAGAACTTAATGGTATCCTCTCCCAGCTATCTCCGGAATTAGAAGTGTGCAATAGAATCGCAGGTTTTCCAACAATCCATCCTTCCTTCCCTTTGAAGCTGATGGAGTTAAACCTGTAATTGAAATCTTCGTCTTCTGCAGAGGGTATTGACCTTGGAACCCAAGTGTTCCCCCCATCTTTTGTTTCTAAAATAGTTTGCCTAGTGCCCAGCAGAAAACCTACCAATGAAACCAATTTTCAGTTGTAATTTAATTAAAAATTGAGGACAATAGAGAATGCCAGATATCAATTTTCAATATAAAACTGCACAATTCATGTAAGGCACAATTTCACCAAATGTGTGATATAAAATAATTTATTTAAGAAACTAAACCCAAAATTGCAACTTCTTTTGACAGTCACCACCACACAAAAATAAAATCTGCTCACATTGGAGTCCAAGAGGTGCCAAAAATGAAAATGTTTTTTTTGATTAATTTGTTTTGTTAGCTGAGAAGAATGGGAAAATAAAATTTAAAAAAAAAAAAAAACAATTTGAACATTATTGTTTTATGCAAACTTGGCTTTCAGCAAAATAAGAAAATGAGAAAACCCAATTAAATTAAATTCAACTTGTAATTTAAATTAAAAAAAAAAGGGTAAATTATACTGACTTCCCCTAAGTTTAGGTAAAAACACTAAAATAATGTTAAATGGATCAAAACTAATAGAGATGTTGCGAAAACACAAAACTAAACAACGTCAAATATATAATTTCGTGTGAAAAAACAAATTATTGATGAAAAGTGGGCATGGGCATGCTATTGATAAAAGTGGAGTAAGTGTTATATAAATTAAAATCCAAGTGAACTTAATGTAATTATGTAATTGTATTTTCTCCAAAAAAAATTTAAGAAACCAAAATCAAGACTGCTACTTGTTTTGACCTTCACCACCACTGAACAGGAAATGGGTTTGATAACTTTTATGTTTGTTTGCTGAGAAAATTAGGAAAAACCCAATTACCCAACAAGTTGAATAAAATCAATAGCAAAATCTGACAAAAAAGAAAGCTAAAATTGAGGAATACCATGATTAGGGTCGTCTGGAACGAAAGCGATGTCGAGAAGAACAACCCCTGGACATAGGAAGGTACACTCTTTTCCCATTCGGAAGAGCTTCTTCTGATTTTGCTTGTTGTTCGAAGCCAATCAGAGGAGAAAGCGAAATCGAAATCGAAAGCGCAGTGGTTTGGGCTACCAGGTGTCTGCGAGTTTGGTGGTGGTGGAGAGAGGCTCTGGGGAGTAGTGTTGTTGATTGGGAGGCCCTGTAATGGCGAGGAGTGAGAGTATTAGTATTGGAGAAGGAATTGAAAGAGTAAGGTCTGAGTCCAATTACTGGGTTGGAACACTCAGTGAGTAGTTGCACGTTCACCATTGTTGTTTGCTCTCTCTCTCTCTCTCTCTTATCCAAATGCTGTTTTCTCAACGGCTTCGCGGGAGGTTTTGAAGCGTGTCAAATCCAAGTCCAATGATGATGATAGACTTTCCAAATATTCCATTTTTAAATGGATTGTTTTTAAAATTAAAAACAAGGTGTAAAACAATATATATTAAAAAAAAATTAGAGTTTGATCTTTATATCCAAATAAATTGAGAGTTTTTAATTTTGTTAACTTAAATTTTAATCTTTTGATTTGTTTATATTTTATAATTTAAATAAGTAGTCTATTTCTATTAGGTAAAATCGACAATAAAAAAAAATAGTATTTAAGTTAATAAACTTGGTAGGACTTATAAGTTGATTTTTTTTTATTTATTATGAAAAAACGTGCAAAAAAAATTAGAAAGATGATTTGATAAAAATATGTTAATTTGATAACATAATTTAGCACTTAAAACTGAATGTATTAAGCGATAATTAGTTAAACCTATTTGATAATTATAATTGATATTACTTAAAAATTTAAATGACTCTTAAAATGTAGGATAAAATTTTAAAAAAATTAAGTCATGAAACTTATTTAATTCTGACTGAATTTATAAATACTAAATATAAGTATTAATATATACTATTATAAATTTACCACCACTATCACTACTATCATCGCCACTAACACTACCACCACTATCACCATCGCTACCGCTATCGTTACTGTTACTACTACCACCATTACTACAACAAATACCGCCGCCACAGCCGCTACTACTACCACTAACACTACTATTACCATCACAACCGCCACCATCATGCCACCGCCACCGCTGCCGCCGCCGCTACTACCACCAACGTTACCGCCACCACCAACATTACTACCACCACCTTCATCACAATTGTCATTATTTTCATAAGTACTATCATTATTTTACTACCACCGTCGCCGCTACCACCACCACCACTATGCGACCACCGCTACCACCACTACTATTACTATCATGCTGTCACCACCATTACCACTACAATCACAATATAAAAATTAAAATATATAATGTAAAATAATAAATTTTAAATTTAAGTTTATACATATCAAATAATTTATTTTTAATTCAACATTTAAATTTATGTCAAATAGATTTTCAGCTTAAAAATTCAGCGTTTAGTTTTCAGTATTTAATTTTCAATCTCCAGCTTTCAACTTTATCAAACAACACCCTAATAAGCAACTTATTTCTGTTGGACAATTTTCATTATATTCGAAGAATGGATTAAAGAAAATGAGAGAGATTGCTTGATTATAAAAATCAAAACAGTCTACAAAAATAAATTAATAAAAACAAATTCGTATTTTGTTATAAGACAAAACCAGAATCTAAAAAAGAAAAATAATTAAAACAAAAAAGTATACTAATTGCTTACCTTATTATTTTCTTGAACGAAATTATGATCAAGTTTAGTTTTTAACACTGTGTCTTTAAGATAGATTTGTCCTCTCCACGATGTTTTCAGATTGTGGACGTCTATCTCTTAAGATACAACGATCAACAACGAATAGTAGTAGCACTACAAACTATTCGCATAACGAACACACTTTGTATTTACACTCTAAACTCTTTCTTATAGGAAAAATAATGCAGCAAAATGCAGAGAGCAGTAGCAAAATTTGAAACGAAAAAAAATTAAGTGAAAATCCAAATGAGGGATTTGCCTATTTATAGGTGCAAAAGTGGCTTTTCAGATTTGAATGAACAGGTAACAAACCTGTTTGGGTTTGAAATGAACAGATATGAAATTTGTACAGAAAGGTGCAAGCCAAAATTGAATTTTTCTCTAACCGAAATTTGAAACAAAATCGAACAGATTTTTAAATTCAATATGAAATATGAATGATTTTTATTTTTCCAAAAAATAAAAATAAATTCAAATGTTTTTGGCCCAAAAAGAATTAGTATTGGGCCGGACAAGCCTAACCCAACCGATCGACCGGACGGACGGACGACGGCAACGGCGGCGCGCGCACGTGTGTTTATTTTGGGTTCAATGGTGTAGCCCAATTTACCCAGAACCTTCCCCTCTATAAAACTTGAGTGCCACTTGGGGCCTATCCCAAGTTCCAAACCCAAGCATTATAAACCCACTCAAAGTTTGCCCACTAAACCAATGTGGGACAAACCTTAACTTAAACCTTAATGGAAATTTTACAAAAAATACCATTTTCATGGAGCTCATTTTGGCTTCAATTTCCCATTCACCCGATAATGGTTTTGAACAACCAAAGATACTACGTGAATCACAACGCAACATAGAACGCGTTACCACTTAGACCCGCGAACTTTGGCATATGGGTCTCACCTAAAAATTAAACCAAAGTTTAGGAAAAATCTATTTTTTCCAAAACCATTTCTAACAATCCCTCACATGAATATGGAATTTGATGACAATAGAAATGCAACAATATGCAGAACTTGTCAAAAAAGTATAAATTGAAAATATCTTGTATCAAGATAGGTAGCTTTCAGCCTTGAACCTTCTCTAGTGATAACCTATCGGACTTACTAGCTAAACAATAGATGCAATGCCTCGAATTGTTCAGCCGTTTGTGTAAGCCAAGACAATAGATTTCACACAAAATATCTTCTAACACATCGTGGTTCTTACGGTTGTGTTCATTTTGGCCTTGAACGCTCTTGGTTATTATGAGTACTTCTAGGGAATTGAGCCTCTTCATTCTCATAAACCGGCCCCAGTTCGACACTCATATAAGTGATTCTTATTGTGAGTATCTTTTATACTCGTCTTGATTTTTATGCCTAAATCAAGATATAAGTAATCATTAAAAGAAAAGCTTATCCTTAAACCCCTGCATACAACACATGTTGCAGATATCACTCTCACCATAGGAATGGGTAGAGAATTTTAATCCCTTGGTGATTTCTAGTGAGCCACACATAACTTAGTTAGCCCTTTGAACTTAGTTCTTGGGATCTCTAGTCATTTAAGTAGGGTTACCATTATGATGACTCTTATGTAATAGGCTTTAATCCCATCCCATTCGATAAACTATACACTTGCTCTTTTGTCAAACCTTTTGTTAATGGATCTACAATATTCTCTTTAGGTTTTATATAATTTATTGAGATTATTTCATTTGAGAGCAATTGTCTTACAGTATTATGTTGACGACGAATGTGTTGTGACTTACCATTATATATATGATTTTGTGCCCTACCTATTGCAAATTGACTATCACAATAAATGCAAATAGTTGGCACAAGTTTTGGCTACATTGGAATGTCTTTTAAGAAGTGGAAAAATCATTCTGCTTTTTCTCCTGCTTTGTCTAAAGCAATACACTCAGATTTCATTGTGGATCGTGCGATGCACGTTTGTTTCGTGGATTTCCAAGAAATAGCAGCGCCTCCCAGAATAAAGATATATTCACTAGTGGATTTTGAATCTTTAGTATCCAATATCCAATTTGCATCACAATAGCCTTCGGGTACTGCTGGATATCGAATAAAGTTTAGGCCATGATCATGGGTAAATCTTAGATATCTAAGAACCCGAATGATTACTTTCCAATGATCTTCTCCTGAGTTACTAGTGTACTTACTCAATTTATTGACAACATAAACTATATCAAAACGAGTGCAATTCATTAGGTACATTAGGCTTCCAATGATTTGGGAGTATTTTAGCTGAGACACCGCATTACTTTTATTTTTCGAAAAATAAAGACTAATGTCTATAAGTATTCTTGCTACATTCATATCATCCTTGATATATTTATCAAGAATTTTCTCAATATAATGAGATTGAGATAATGCATACTCATCACATGTTTTAGTAATTTTCATTCCTAATATAACATCTGCGACTCCCATATCTTTCATATCAAATCTTTTGTTTAGCATTTGCTTTGTTGATTTGATCATGTTTTGACTGCTTCCTATAATAAGCATGTCATCCACATAAAGACAAACGATGACATAACCTTTATCAGTGTTTTTAACATAGACGCACTTGTCACATTCGTTTATCTTAAACCCATTAGTAAGCAAAGCATGATCAAATTTTTCATGCCATAACCTTCCTTTCTAGCCCTGGCACTATAACCCCTTCGGGTTGCTTCATATAGATCTCTTCATTTAGATCACCATTTAAGAAAGCTGTCTTAACTTCCATTTGATGTATTTCTAAATTATACAATGCTACTATAACAATAAGCATGCGGATGGATGTTATTCTTGTCACAGGGAAATGTGTGTCAAAACAGTCCAAATCTTCCTTTTGTCTGTAACCTTTTACCACAAGTCTTTATACTTGTCTATTGAACCATCTGCTTTCATTTTTCTCTTGAATATTCATTTGTATCCAAGAGGTTTAGAACCACGTGGAAGATCTACCAATTTCCAAGTATGATTTTGCATAATGGATTCAATTTCATTATTAACAGCCTCTTTCCACAAAGGTACTTCAGGACCTGTCATTGCTTCCTTAAAGCTTTGAGGTTCATTTTCTAACAGGTATGTCAGAAAATCTGGACCAAAAGATTTTGATGTTCTCGCTCTCTTACTTCGTCTTGGTTCATCATCAGTTAAATCTTGTTGGTTAAGGCCATTACTAGTCTCTTGCGTTTGATTGTCATTAGTCTCTTGACTTTGTGTACAATCATAAGTTCTTTTCTGTGAACTTAATTCCTGTCCTTTATTGTAAGGAAAAATATGTTCAAAAAACACAGGATTCCTTGACTCTATAATAGTGTTCACATGTATATCAGGTACTTTTAATTTATAAATCAGAAACCGATATGCAACCAATAAACACACAATCCATTGTTTTGGTCCTATCTTAGTCTTTTTCGGAACAAGAATTTCTACCTTTGCCAAACACCCCCACACTTTTAAGTATTTGTAAGAAGGTAGTTGACCTTTTCACAATTCATAAGGAGTGTTGTTAGTTTTCTTGTGGGGTATTCTGTTAAGAACATAATTAGCAGACAATATTGCTTTCCCCCACCAAGTTCTGCGGTAAGCTTGAACTTAGTAACATAGCATTCATCATTTCTTTAAGG